CCCCCCCCCCCCCCATCACTTTTCTAATGGTCCGCCCCTTACTTAAGTACGTTTTGCCTCCAGTACTTTTTACTCTTTCTCAAGTCGTTTTATTGTTAATTACTTCTACCCTTACTCGAGTACAAATTCAAAGTAATTTAGGCACCGCTAGCTGTGAATGAGTAATGACTGTTCAGATGAGGCAACATATACTCAGAACAATGATAACTCATCTACTCGTTCACATCCATCAGAAGTAGGAAAATAAGAAAATCGCACTAGAAATCGCAGCAAAAATTGGAAGTGTAATATTGGAATATTTCTGTCGGGAAATAAATAAATTATCTATGTTCAGAAATATACTATATTTGAAAAGTAAAGTAAAGATTAAAGGTTTTCAATTTATATACCATGCATCTGCATACCTTGCGGAATAAATCTTCCTCCCGTACAATGCCAATGATTTCACCACTTGTATAGAATATATGCGCGTTACACTGAATGTATCACCATGCAAAGTCACTAAAAATTGTAAGGTTCAAAGAACTGAGTGTGATGACAAGCGCTGATTCAATATTCAATGAAGCAAGATTCCTTCTATTTATATATCTGAAGATAATCGAAAATATACGTAAACTATGCAGCTTTGCAGACTTTGCAGGTGTACGTAAATATTATTCCCCTAATTGCACCTGAATGAAATTAAGAATTACATACTTATGTAATATCTGCCGGCGGCAATATAACACTTTCAAATGGCAATCAATTGATTTTAATTTCGATCCACGATACATTATACAAATTCTCAGCGTGTTTAATTCAGCCTTTTTAATATATTCAGGTGTTATAATTCCCACCTTCACTGATCATGCCTTGTGTTCGTCATTGAAAGTATATCTGAAAATTTCGCAAACATACACACCATAGACATAGTATTTAGTTAACTCGTAGAAATACTGACGTGCTATTGCGTGCGACACCACAATCAATATCAGTTCTAAGTTTAAGACTTATAAGTTATATATATGATATGAACCAAAACTAGTTAGGCAACGGGCAACCCTTATAGCAATAATTTTAAAAAATCGTACCGGCTTTATTTGTCCCATTCATAATTATTTTGATTCACTATAACTCAAAATATTATTTCAGAAAATAAACAAATTCCGAAGAATATAATTTCATTCAAATTCTTGAAATTCAAGATTTGAATTAAAACAAGACAAGTTTTTGAGTTTTGAAACTGTTTCAATTCAAAGCTTGAATTTCAATTAAGATGACATTATTATGCTTCGGAATGTGTTTCTTTTTTATGTTTTAAAACGAATGGTATATAATTGAACTGACTGCATGCCCACTTTGCATGGTCTGAAGTCAAGCGCATGATTATTTAAATAACCACAAGTGCGTGCCCCTTTGTCTTTGATTTCAGATCAAAGTTTAATGCTTTACACTGCTATTATACACATTTGAAATTCAAAGCATTTTTATTTTTTTATAAAACAATACTCAATACTACAATAGATACATACCTTGAAAACAAAATTCAAAAAATCCTTAAATTAAAATCTTTACTGAAAACCTTCGAATTCACTAAAATTGAACAACTTGAAAAATTTAAAAAGTTAAATAATTCTTAAATTTTTCGAAACACTGTTTCCTAAAATCACATGGGGTTGGGGAAATTTGAACAGCTCGTACACTGCATGGCTTTTCTCGGGTGATACATCCCTCGGAATAACACTATACCTTTAAATCAGTTAAACTCCCTAACTACTACATGTATAAGACAGACTGCACAATGATATAGACACAGATCAGTAAAGTTAGGTACTCCTGTACTCAAAACAAGGCTAGCATCATGCATATGTATCAGATCCGACATAATAATATGGACAATGCTGTATCCAAAACAATTGTCTCGTTACAAACACACACGCGTAACCACAGATGATGACTCACATGGAAAGATTTATATTGGCTTGACGGAAGGGATATTCAAACAATGCTCACTAATCTTGTATTCGAAGAATACAAATGAATACATGAATTGGATTGTGTTGTAATGTAATTTATTATATAAAGTATAGTGCTTTAAATAGTACTTTGAGCACTGATAAAAGTGATAATCTCATAACACGCTTTTGATCAGCTGAAGCATCTTCTCACATGATTTTGCGGAATTCTATGTTGCAGGGTTCAGATTTTCTGAGACCTTTTTACAATATTGGGACCTAAAGCCTTCAGAAATCCCTTTAGTATTTGGCTTGTAAGGGGGTCAGAAATTCTGAACCCCATGTCTCGAGATTTATCATTTTTGCATGATTTTGGGGAATTCTATGTTGCAGGGTTCAGATTTCCTGAGACCTTTTTACAATATTGGGACCTAAAGCTTTTTCAGATTTTCTAAATCTCTTTTAAGGATTGTATTTTATCAGTGAACTTTGATGTGGGATATATTTAAACTAAATAGTGTAATTGTACGGAACAAATTTACTTTTTAAGGTTTTTCCACAAAAATAAGATTTTTAGCCAGAAATGCGACTTGTCCGCATAATTACGTTTCTTTTTTAAATTCTGCGGGAAAATGCCACTTTGGAAAATCCCAATTTAGTTTGGAACGCGTTACCAGCGACACCGTTCTCTCGTACTTCAACCCCCACAAAGAAGCTACCATAATTGTCGATGCCAGCCCTGTTGGTCTTGGTGCTATTCTTTGCCAAGACAACTATGTTGTTGCCTATGCCAGTCGTTCTCTCACTCCCGTAGAACAACGGTATTCCCAAACAGAACGAGAAGCCCTCGGTGTACTGTTTGCTTGTTGAGCGGAAGTTAGTATTCCGAAATATTTAGGATATAGTGGAAACACATAGTGAAAACACAACAAAAACAAAGAGCATGCATGGTTTTTTATCGCGATCGAGACAAAGTGATATTATATTTTAGTTTCTCTTTATATTTATGATTCTTTTTATGAAATAAATAGTAAAATAACCAAAAGTGAGATTGGGAGTTATTGTACCGACGAAGTTCCGTACATTTAGTGGTGCCGTGACCAGGATTAAACGGGAAATTGTGCAAAATACACACGAGACTTTGAGTATTAATTTAAAAGTATGACCGACGGTGAATCGGGTACAAACGTGAGTGATTCAAGTCAAGTTGATGAACAAGAAAAGATTTTAGAGAGTAAAATAACTAAAGCAGTCGATAAACTAAAGTATTATCTGGAGGAAACGGACGAACTCGTCGAGAATAATGAAATATCCGAGTTGCGAATTGCATCGAAAAGAACTGACGAAATTCGAGACGAATTAAATGATCTTATTTCACGCGTACAAGAGCTAAAATTAGACTCAGGAAACACAACGCAAAGGGCGATCAGGCAATGGAAAAAGGATTTGATAGCGAGTTTTGCACCGTTATTGGAAAAAAAGGAGAAAATCAATGGAGTATTAGAGAACATAGAGAAAAAACGTTGTTTAGATTTGGAGACAGAAAAGTTAAAGGTGAAATTTGAGAACGAAGAGAAGTTTAGAATCGAGTTACAAGAGAGAGAGAGAAAGCACTTTGGGAAGAGAGATTAAAAGCTGAGATCAAGATGACCGAGAAGAAGTTAGAGATGGAGACTGCCGCAAAGGTATGTAGATCAAAATTACCTGAACTTAAAATAACTCCATTCAAGGGGACCCCAGAAGATTGAATTAGATTCGAGAACATGTTTACGACACAAGTTAATAACAAACCAATTTCCGCAGAAGAGAAATTTGGCTATTTATTGGAGTTAGTCGACCCCAAAATAAGAGATCGGTTTGCAAATCTCAAACCTGGAGAGTTGGGTTATCAAACTGCATGGGACCGATTAAAAGCAGAGTATGGTCAAACTAAAGTGGTCATTGCTGCTCATGTTGACCAAATTATTAATCTGCCCACCGTGAGGGGGACTGGGTACAACAAAGTGCATGACTTCTATGAATCTCTAAGCAAGAGCCTTGATGCCCTACAAACTCTGGGTGGGGGGAACATGTTAAAGGGACTTGTCCTACCAACGCTTAACAAATTACCCAATATTAAGGCAGATCTGGTGAGAACGAATGAGGAATGGGAAGACTGGGGAATGGAGAATCTGATAAAAGCACTACAAAAGTGGTAAAAAAGGAACCAGCCAGAAGCTGGTAAAGAGACGGGGGAGAAAAAGCGAGAACGCCATATGTTCAGCCAAAAGGGGGAGGGGGCTCAAACCCACCGAGGTCCCCACTGCATATTTGAGTGCAAAGAGTCACACTGGGGAGACACATGTCCAGTGTATGACACTCTTGAGAAACGTCGTCGATTCTTTTCTGAGCACCGCCTATGCTTCAATTGTGCACGGTCAGGACACAGAGAAAATAAATGCCGTGGGAGGGGTTGTTATAAGTGCAAAGCAAGGCATCATACCAGTCTGTGCAATAGGGAGTCAGGAAATGAAATGCAGAACCACAACAAACTGTTAAGTGGATTTTCACCCTCAAAAGAGGAGAAGTCTCTTCCGGCCATAATCCCAATGAAAATCCAGGGAGTCACGTTTTGGGCGTACTTAGACACTGGCTCGGGGCGGAACTTTGTTTCTAAAGAAGCAATAAATAAGCTAAGATTAAAGCCAAAGCGACATGATAGGCGTCACATTTTAACAGTCAACAGGACGAAAGAGCAATCGATGCCGGTTTTCGCTGCAACAATTGAGTCGGCCGACGGGAGTGTAAGCAAGTCAATCGAACTGACAGGTAGCAAGATGTCAGATTTCACCACTGTTAAGCGGCCTGCAATTGCTGAGGTAAAGGAAAAGTACCCACACATGCGAGGGAAAACTTTCTATAGAACCGCCAACGAAGAATACCCAATACATGTGATACTTGGAGACGCAGTCTACTGCCAGATAAAGACGGAGAGTATTATCAAAGGTGAACCAGATGACCCAATCGTAAAGGGCACAACCTTTGGTTGGGTTGTCACCAGAGAAACAAATGAGTATGAGCGCCTATACTCCCTAGACGTGCTAGGGATCGAGGATCGGGTCGAAGGTGACCAGCTTGATGTCTATCGAGAGTTTCAAGAAAGCATCACAACGCGAAACAACGGGAGATATGAAGTGAGCGTACCGTGGATACCGGGAGCAGAGCTAGTCAACAGTAACGAGGAACCCAGCAGGAAACGATTGAAGAACATAGAACGGAAACTGAGTCATGATAAAAAGCTTCAAGAGGCTTACGAGGAGATTGTGAAAGACCAGCTAGAGAAAGAGATCATTGAGCCAGCACCCTCCCAGCCAACAGGACCTCGTGTTTTCTACATGCCTCATAAGCCTATCGTCCGAGAACAGTCTAGCAGTTCGAAGGTGCGAATGGTATTTGACGCAAGTGTGAGACCCAATCCGTTAGTGAACAGTGTGAATGAGTGTATGCACACCGGACCGTCTTTACAACCGTTGATGTGGGACATTTTAATAAGAGCGAGAATGAGTCCACACCTTGTACTAGCAGATATTCAAAAGGCATTCCTTCAGGTGGGCCTGAAGGAGGAGGACAGAGATGCCTTTAGGTTTCTTTTCAACATTAACAACCATGAACAACACTTCAGATTTGCCCGAATTCCCTTTGGTGCAGAAGCCAGTCCGTTCATGCTAGGAGCTACAATAAACTACCACCTTGACCACATACGTGGATAACCTCATGCAGATCTCAGACGACATTGAAGAACTGAGCAAGTTCAAAGAAGAAGCAACCCACATCTTTGAATCGGCACAATTCCCCATTCACAAATGGGAATCAAACGTACTGGAGTTAGATAGATAGATAGATAATCTGTTTATTAAAAAACACCTAGCAGCCATGCATAGAGCTGAATTACGTGATTCTTATACAAAGTGTTTAAAACAATTACAAAAATTCCTAATTTAATATTATAAAAAGTATCTCTTAACTATTAGTTCTGTATTATAAAATATCAATTTTTACGAGTTTATTATACTAGATATTATAATACGATATTTTGGAATATTAAAAAGTTTTTCGTTCCTAAAATTATATGTATCGGATGTCACCTTAGGTGGCAGTAAGTTGTGAAGCTTATGGTCCTCATTGTCCAGAATCGAGTTAAAAAGTTTCTTACATAAATCACCCCTTCGTGTAGATAAAGTCTTTAATTCTAACATGTCTAGAGCATCCTGGTAGGACAGTTGAGGATAAATTATGCGCAGTGCTCTCTTTTGAATCCTTTCAATAACATCAGATAGGTATTGTGGCAAGCCATAATGAAAAACTTGGCATGAATATTCCAGTATTGACCTTATTGAAGCGACATAGAAGCACTTGAGATCACCAGCATCAAGTCCAAACCTTCTGAGCTGTTTCAACAGGTAAATTCGCTGGGATGCCTTATTGACTATTTTTTCCACGTGATCGTTCCATTTCAAGTCCTTTGTGATTGTTAAACCAAGAATCGATATTTTGTCAGCTCGTTCGATTTGTGATTGATTAATACTGATGGGGGGAAATTTGGTTCATTCCATTTAAAAGACACAACAAATTCTTTACATTTTGATGGATTAAGCTGGAATTTATTTCTTTCAGACCAGTCAACAATAGAGTTAGTTACTTCTTGCAGAGAACTGTTTTCTGCCTGATCGGTGATGTATTCTGAAATATTAGTATCGTCCGCATATTTCATCATATCCCCATCAAATTGATCGTTAGAAACTACAAGGTCATTGATCATCAGCAAAAAGAGCCATGGGCCAAGTTTAGTTCCTTGAGGGACTCCAGCATTGACATTGGAAAAACAGTTCGGGGAAAGTTTTACCCTTTCTTGTCTTCCCCTCAAAAAGTCTGAAATCCAGTTTAAGGTTGATGTTTTTAGACCTATTCCCTGAAGTTTTCTATAAAGAGTATTATGATCTATAAGATCAAAAGCTTTCCGATAGTCCGTAACCAGTGAGCTAACACATCCACCCTCTTTGTCTACTGTCTTTGACCAACGGTTGATTAAGGTAATTAAAGCCAGGGTGGTATTAGAACCTGGTATGAAGCCATATTGGTTACAATCCAGGCGATCCATTATTGCCGGTTTTAGATGTTGAGGTAAGAGATATAGGTCTAAGATCTTTATTAACATCTATCACCTGTTTAACTTTTGGGATTGGGCAGATGTTAGCCATTTTCCAGCAGGCAGGCACTCGATTTTCCTTAAATGATGTGTTTATAATGATTGAGATTGGCATTGCTAGAATAACTGCAAACTTCTTTAAGACCCAGTTGGGCAGGCAATCTGGGCCACTGGATTTCCCCAGCTTAACACCATTTAATGATTTAAAAACTTCTTCTTCAGTCAAACAAATTATACTATTATTATCGATCATGGTAATGGTACTATCAGATAGTGGCTGGTAGTTGCACATTGGTTCCAAGAAACAGTCATTTATCAAGTTACTAAGTGAATCGAGGTCTTGTGTATCTTGTTGCAGGTTTGCAAAGATATTACTCGTCGACTTTTGTTGATGACCACAGAGACGTTTCACCTCCTTCCACCAATCTTTAGGTTTAGTGTGTTTGAGTTCTTTCACCTTAGCTTCATAATATAATTTACGGCAGTTTTTCCTAGATTGATTTACTTTATTCCTTAACTGTTTATATAAAGTAGGCTGGATCGATATCGCAAATACCGAATACCGATATACCGCCATCAGAATACCGGTAAATACCGGTATTCCGGTATTTTTAACGTGTTTTTTTTTAAGCCAAACTGAAGTGCTGACCGTCAAGAAAAATCAAGTTTTGACAAAATATGAATGTAGCACATCCTGTTATTAGTGCAAATGTCACAAGATTCGCATTATCAAGCTATGTTAACAATTAACAGCGCTAAGCGGCAATTATTAGTAGACCGTCGATTGGGGGTCGAAGTGTTGAATCATTCAGAAAAATATTCGTTTTGTATATAAATTCAGATAGTGTTTCAGTAAGTTGCTAATAGTTATAAACATAAAAAAACGTTGCATTTTTAAAACTAACACATAAACAAGTTAGCAAGCATGTAAAAAAACTAGAAAAGCCAGAAAAGGTTTTCGCTGCTTCGCAAATGCTAGTACTTCCACCTTCCAAAATCAAAGTTTTCTTTTTTGTCGAAATTTTCCTTTAAAAATTTCGCCATTTTTATCACAGAATAAGAACCTTTTATATTTCCGATTAAGGCGATTTAATAAACAAGACGTCTGGTATTGCTAAACCAAAGCCGCTAGAACTGTAAGAACAAAATCATGCATCTGTGAGTATTAACTTTGCTTTCTAAACGTGATTGTAAGCAAGTTTGACTTGAAAGAGCGTTTCATTTCGGTATTAGGCAGCAAAATGCCGAAATATCGGTATATCGGTATTGTTAAATTGTCAATATCGCCAAACCGGTATCTAAACAAATACCCGGTATATCGGATATATCCGGTATATCGATCCAGCCTAATATAAAGCATGTTTGTTCTGCGCAAGAGCCTTTTGTCTTTTTTTAATCAGACGTTTCAGGTTGCTGTTCATCCAAGGTTGATCATTTTGATGAACCTTCACAGTCTTCAGTGGCATTAGGGTATTAAGTCCATACTTTATAACGTCAGTAAAGTTATTCAGGTTTTGATCACAAGACTGGTTTGGATTAACCACTATGTCCCATGGCACTTCGCATAAAAATCTTCCTAGGCGACGGATGCTGCTAGCCCTCTTGTCCCGCACGTTAATAATAGTTTCTTTAGACTGGTTACCACGAATTTTTTCTTTAGAAAAGGCAACAACAGTAAGGTGGTCTGATAAACCAAGTGGAGGAGTATTTAAAGGCTCTTCGTAGAAGTTGGACAAATTTGTCAAAATTAAGTGTAATTTACTTGTTCCTCTAGTATTAAAATTTACAATCTGCCGGAGTTGAAATTGATGGCTGATATGTCTTATAGGTAGTTTATTAAAATCTCCTGCCAGGATTAAGCCGCAGTTAGGATATCTGGTTTCCAATAACTCTAATGATGACTGTAAGTATTCTAGCATATCTGACTTATTTGCAGTGGGTGGGTGGTATAAAACTGCTGCAACGAGTGTTGAAAAGCCTCTTGGTAACCTACATGGGTTGATTTTGACCTACAGCACTTCACATTCATTTTCATTTGGTATATCGGGGATAACATTTGCTACATAAGAAGCTTTTATATATATACATACCCCGCCATGTTCCTTTCCTATTCTGTCTCGTCGAAAGACTCTATAGCCATTGATGTCAATTACTTCATCGGGTACGGAACTTTTCAGCCACGTTTCACTAATAAAAACTAGATCTGCATTGTTTTGCTTTGTAACATGTTCTAATTCGTCCATTTTGGGGACCAGTGACATCACATTAGTTAGCAAAAGATTAGGAACAAATTCCCGACTACAACCAGCTTGAAGGATTTTGAGGAGTTTTTTGAACACTATCAGGTTTAATTTTAATGCAATTTGCTAAATTTGCCCCTTTGTAAGACGTTTTATGTTTACGATATTGTGAAGCAATCACAGGGATTGGTTTTTGCAGCATTTGGGTTGATGTCGTAGTTGGATCTGGAATAGAACTGTCAATATCTGAAGCGCACTGAACCCAATCCAAGCAAGATACTTGGACACATCTGGGACAAGCGTGAAGACTCGCTTGAGATCAAGGTTGATGCAAGTTCAACGGAGGGTAGTCCTGTGACCAAGCGTACTATTCTAAGTAAACTCAGTGGCGTGTACGATCCACTAGGGATAATGTCTCCAATCATGGTAGAGGGGAAGCGTATTTATCGGGAAGCTTGTGACGAGAAGGTTGGCTGGAACGCGGAAGTCAGTGACGTAGTGAAGAAAGATTGGGTACGGTGGACTAACCAACTGAGAAATGTGAGAGTACCAAGAAGCATAGCAAGAGACATACGTATGATTAATAAAGTACATCTACACATGTTTGCTGGTGCTAGTAATGTTGCATGTTCCGCCGTGACAATAGCAGTGATTGAACATTCAAGCGGAGTGATCAAGGGGCTACTGACGTCCAAGAGTAGAATATCGAAGCGCAACACCACAATAGCGAGGTTGGAGTTGGTCAGTGGGCATATGGCCGCAGATATGGTAAAGAACATTCTTTCTGCCCTGAAGCTGTGGCTCATTGCATCTGTTACTGTTTGGATGGACAGTATGGTGGCACTGTACTGGATCTGCAATCCAGGGAAATCGTGGAAAGTGTTTGTGAGCAGCCGGTGAGAAAGATTTCAGAAATCACTCACGAGACTGGAATAATCTGGAAACACTGTCCAACAGATAAGAATTTAGTAGATCTCGGAAGTCGAGGAGCAAGCTTAGACAAGATGGAAAAGGGAAACTGGTTCTCAGGACCAGACTGGTTACTTGACGAGAGAGAGTGGCCAACACAACCGAAGCTCGTGACAACAAAAAGAGTAAGCGAAGAATTCAAGCCTACAGTAGCAGAGGCACTGTTTACCGTGAAGCGAGAGCCGGACGAGTGGGATGCCCTATTTGAGAAGTGCTCCTACTGGAAGACCCTACGAGTGACAGCATGGGTTCTAAGGTTCAAGCACAATGCCCTGGCCAAGAACCGAAAGATGAAGAGTGGTCCACTTACCACTGAAGAGATCGCCAGCGCAGAGGATTGTTGGGTCCAAAGAGTGCAAGTGAACGTTGAATCCGATCTTGAGACACCAGGGTGGAAACTAGCAAGGGACGAAGACACAGGCATCCTCAAGTGCAAGGGGAGGATCCATGGTTATGAACCTGTTTTCATCCCAAACGGACACTTTGCAGAGAAATTAATCCGTCATGCTCATCAGCAAGTCAATCACCTTGGCGTCGCAAATACGATGTCTGCAGTCAGAGAAAAGTGGTGGATACCTAGATTGAGATCAAAAGTGAAGAAAGTGATCAACCGTTGCAACCGATGTAAAGTATTTAGAGCAAAACCGTATGGGGCGACAGCGACAGCAGATTTACCGAGATTTCGCACAGAATGCAGCAGACCATTCGAGACAACGGGGATTGATTTCGCGGGACCTTTGAGGTACAACTTATCGAAGCGAGACGAAGGCAAATGCTACATTATCATCTTTACGTGTGCAACATCCAGAGCCGTTCACCTCGAAGTCACGGAATCCCAAACGGCGGAGGAGTTCCAACGAAAGCTGAACGCGTTTGTGACGCGACGCACAAGACCGAAACGCATTGTATCAGATAACGCGTCCGTGTTCAAGTCTACCCTTCAAGACCACCTTGCAAAATTAGAGATAAGATGGCAGTTTAACCTCTCGAGATCTCCCTGGTGGGGAGGCATGTATGAACGACTGATCAAGGAAATAAAGAAAACCCTATACAAGACGATGGGAAGATCACATTTGCGTTACGAGCAAATGGAATCAGTAGTTATGGACATTGAGAGACACCTAAATAACCGCCCACTAACATATGTGGACAACGGCGAGGAGCAAGTATTAACACCCAATGTGATAATGTGGGGCCAGAATTCCCATACTATAGAAGATATTGAGATCGAAGGTGATTAAGTCAGCAAGCTTCACGCAAGACTGATGCTGAAACGACAACCGGTATGGCAACGATGGAAGAAAGAGTATGTCCACAGCCTTATGGAGAGCCACAGAGTACACAGAGGAGTCGGTAGGGTTCCTGAAGTCGGAGAGATCATACTGCTGGTCGGCGACGAGAAGAATAGGGGTGAGTGGACGAAAGGGAAGGTTGAGCGGCACATCCAAGGGAAGGACGGTGTAGTGAGGGGCGTGACACTCCTTCACAAGGGTCACTATATTCAGAGGCCCTTAACGCTCATATGCCCGTTGGAAATTAAGGCTGTCAAAGCAGTTCAACCCGAGCAAAGATAAAAAGAAACGCAACAACTGCAACCGAGAAGTACTCGAAAGGCGGCGGATACAGCTCGTGAACGGATACATCTAACTGCTGATGCTGATTAGTGTTGAAAGACTATTCAAATATATTAACATTGAGGAACATTAGGCCCAAGAAATCCCGGACATTGTTGAGATTGTTGCTAACATTATGCACGTAAAATTAGTTATGTTGTTATAATTTTAGGGGAGCGTGAGCGGAAGTTAGTAGTCCGAAATATTTAGGATATAGTGGAAACACATAGTGGAAACACAACAAAACAAAGAGCATGGTTTTTTATCACGATCGAGACAAAGTGACATTATATTTAAGTTTCTCTTTATGTTTATTATTCTTTTTATGAAATAAATAGTAAAATAACCAAAAGTGAGATTGGGAGTTATTGTACCGACGAAGTTCCGTACAGGACCAATCAAACATATAATTGCAAGCATGCAAATATAATGCGAAATTCGCAAATATAAACATAATAGAACTCAGAAATATAATACGAAATTTCCAAATATAATATTAATTTTATCGCACATATTATCAACTTCTCAAATATAATACCAAATTCCAAATATAATACAAAATTTCCAAATATAATGTCAACTTCCCAAACGTAATGGCAATTTTAAAATATTTGCCAAATATAATACAAACCAGCCAGAACATAGAAAGTACTGTAACTACACAAAGTTTACAGAATTCAACAAGTAATGACGTTGAAACAGCAATAAGATCGCTTTTTCCATCGACAAATGGCACAGCAACAACGGTACAAAACACGAGTTCCGAGTCTGAGAGCAGTAGACGTGACAATCAAACTAATGTTGTTAATTCTGTTGATACACAGTTTGTTGGACAGCGTGCCTGTTTTCAACCAAGCTAGAGCTATCAGCCTGGGGGTAAGAAAATGGCTAAATCAACGAAGGTGAATGCAAAGAAGACCAAACATGTGGAACAGCGTTCAACAATTAAGGATGTGATTTTGTTGCCTGGCCCAAAGTTTAATAAATTTCCACGTGGGGCAACACAAGAAGGTTTGTATACTAATGGTTTTGTTACCACACTTGAACTGATCCCGACAATGAGTGAACAAGAAATTAGAGAAAATCTTGAAGAAAAATTTAAGCGAAAGCTTTTGGGAGCGGAAAAGGTACCGAAGTTCGAGTTCGTGCATGCCATTAACAGCAAAATAATTTGTGCAAGAAGACAAGATTGCCAGAGCTACGACGGAAGGCTGTTGAAACATACTTCTGGCCAGGCCCCGCTGTACATTAGGGCTACAACAGATATCAGTTCTTCTCTGAACATGTATAATTTTAAAAATAAAGAAAGCAGCAATGGCAGTTAGTAAAATCAAGAAGATGAGGTTGATGAACAGAACATAATAAAATCTACAATGTTTAAAAAGGAACAAAAGCTGTGTGTCGTATGTATTGATGATAGCGATACCAACATTGCTGTTAGTTTTCTCCATGTTTCAACATCGTCTTCAACATCCAATGAACAGGCTTGCACTTCCAGACATCCAACATCCAGAGAACAGGCTTCCCTTCAACATCCAGAGCAAGCGGCTTTACAACCTACTTTAGCAAAAGAGGTGGAAACTGGACCTTTTGTTTCTTGTTCAACATGTGATGGACAATTTGAAATCAATGAAATTTAGGAACATGCAGATCGGTGTGCTGAATCTACCTGGCATGGATCAGAATGGCTTATATATGCAAATTTGATGTCAAGCTTTGAAAACAATTCTGATACTGAGATGCAGCATGATGAAACATATACACAGAGAGAAGCCCCTGAAGAAACTGTTTCTGCTAGTGGAGGTACCCAAGAAATCAGCAGAGGTAAAATGATTGAAGTAATTCAAGAACTCCAGAAAAATGTGGGAATGTCAACCAACAGAATAAATGTTCAGAGAAAAACGGTTTTAGCAGATTACCTTAACACAAGGAAGAGAAGACCATGGTTTAAACCAGAGGTTCACATAAAAGTTGTTTTTGTAGGAGAAACTGCTATAGATGATGGTGGGCCAAAACGTGAATTTTTTACAGGTATAGTACACTGTATGGATATGTGCATGCCTTCTCAAGTTGCTGAAGACATGGTTTAATTTTGGGTTTGTGAAACCACAAGTCTGAGAAACTTCATACTAACTTATTAATTACAAATTAATTATTAATTCTTTCTCTTTCTTACAGATGCACTTGAACAACTGAAGCTACGAATTTTTCATTCAAATGGTTTACCAGTGGAGAGTACTGTTGCTCTAACAGAAGAAACATTTAAACTTGGAGCCGAACTGATCGTCATGTCCATTGTACAAGGTGGCCCAGCACCAACTTGTATGTCTCCTGTCATCTATGACATCGTTTCAAGAGGTTTCAAAAGTCAGACTTGTGTGTTATTGGATATGATAAAAAATGGAAATTTCAAGACCATTGCTAATAAGGTAATATATATATATATATATATATAGGGTACTTTTAAAGCTTCCTCAGTTTTGGTTTCCTGGTAAGCATGTTAACCCATTGAGCTGCAATGCTCTCCAGTGTGCCCTACTTATTTTTATATTTGGTTGAATGGCAAAATTAGCATTCCATCTGAACTGTCTCTAGTTACAATTCATACATGCATGTGATGTGAGATGCAATTTGTTGTTGTTCTAGATAGACAAAGTTAGTACAGTTGAACAGTTGCATTCTATTTTGGTTGAAGATGATGTTCTGGATGTATTATCACAAGTTGGATATAGGGGAGTACCAAGCAGAGAAACATTAGAATGCAAGGAGAGTCTAGTCAGGTAATTTGTATAAGCAAAATGACTCTCATGAAATGATGAGAACACACAAATCTAATATTAGATTTGCATTCGTCATTTAGATCGATTGTCATAAAATCTCTAATTGAGCCCAAACTGGGGATGATAAATCAGCTGAAAGAAGGTCTTGTTGTTTGTGGATTGCTTGACGCCATCCAGAAAGCATCGCTAGAAATCGCGGACATTTGAATCCCGAAAATCCCTTATGTCTATGCCCTTTATTACCCTTACGATCTCCGGAATTTCTTATTAATTCTAAATATAACTATAAAAGGATAAGGATTACAAATTGTAAACAAACCAAAATGATTACAAAATGTAAACAAATAAAAAATAGAAAGAGCTTTCGAATGATATATTTTGGGCCAATTTTGCCTAAAAAATCATCGCCAAATTTAGAAATATTAGAACCTGATGATTGTGTCTAATAAACGAACCTTCGATTTTATGCAAACTTTGAATAAAACAAATCATCATGGACACCACAGATTAAGGTATGCGAATAATTATTTCGGCTACTAATATCTGCATATTATTTAAATTTTACCATACATTTTTACGTTAATCGATCATTAAGCTGTAGTATGACTTTGCGAAAGGTGGATTATTGTCGTTTCGGTAAATTAGTTACAAATCTTGCCCGTAGTTTTAAGTATCATATATAATCATTATATTTTATTATTGCTTTTAGTTTTCTTTCTTATTTCCTTGATTAATTCACGGAATTTTGTTTCCACACTATACAATTTTAATTTGGTATGATTCTTCAAAGATATTTTAAGTAAACTACTGGAGTTAAAATAATACCCTTTGAGGGGTTACAGGCATTCGCAAGCTAATCAGTATTCAAAAGTATCACCACGTAAGGGGGGTTAGTGAATCTAACTCCATTTGAGGGGTTACTGGCATCAAGAGCAAGTGTCACATGACTACATATGGCATTCAAGTTGATATTTTATAAACAGATCTGTGAATTTTCCTGTTATATATAGGGAATGAAAGCTTTAAAGAATCTAATTATGGATGAAGAACATTTCGAAGGTTAGTTTATCTACCGGTTGTTTTTAGCTTAAACGGCGGATAAGTCAAATTTTCATTCGTTTTGTGAATAACTGAATACAATTAAGTTTTAAACCTTAAATAAGTTGTTGTATACATAAGTGTTCTTTTCAGATTGAAAAAATATTTTGATTGTTCCAATGAATACACAGACTTGCTTGATATTCTAGACTTATCCACCGTTTAGGCTAAACGCGCTACGAACAACCGGCCCCTGGGGTCGGTTGTTTAATAGGTTGCATCAAAGGCATTTAGCTTAAACGGTGGATAGGCAAAAAAATTATAATACATTCTCATTCATCTTGTGCAGTTCTATGCATAGTTGTTATGTTTAGACAGAAAATATTAGTTTGATTGTAGTCAATAGTTCATAAATTTGTTTGATATTTTTTTACTTATCCACTGTTCAGGCTAAACACCTTTGATACAACCGGCCCCTGAAGAGTAGTTTACAACTTAATTTTTGCCTTGCATGTTCAGTTCGAATTGGACCAATTGGTTGAACATATGGCTGATTTGAAATTCAGATTCTTTTTATGATACCATACACACCTTGACAGGTTGTCTGTATTTGCAGAGGTATTCCAGGCTTATTAAATAACTCAAGTATATATACTCCCAATATTTATTATTTCAACTGGGATTGCCACTCCCCACGGCCATGGCATTTAGAAGTAATATATTAATGATATTACTATACAAAAAATCATCAAATGTCTTTACAATTTTGATATTAATACAGTACGACTAAATATTTATAAAATATATGTGCATATATCTTAATGAACAATTCAGTAAGTGAATAGGCAATTCCAGCTTTTAGTTTATGCTTGCAGGGGATGATGGGAAGCAAGGTATCATATTGCTGTTTATGCTGAAAAATTTCAATAAAAACTGCTGAAACAACTAAGATATTTCACTATTTACAAATATAAGCTGTCACTCTGTGTTTACACTGCCGCCAGTTTTATTTTTTCAGCATAATCAGTGATATGATACCTTACTTCCATCAACCTCTGCACGTACGCATAAACTAAAAGCTGGAATTGCCTATTCCAACAAGTGTGATAGGGCATCAAATGGTGGTATACTGAGTACTGACAGTTATCAAAATGAGAAAATGATTTATATGCTTTCCAAGATGTAATACTCAAATATTTGATAGCAAGAAAATTAAAAGAATTATGAGAAATACATCAGTTTAATTTTTAAGCAGCTCCTGCAATTTGACCACCATTTGCTGACCTATAACATACACTTAACAAAACCTTCCAATATTTTTAATATATTTTAGCCGTGATTCTTCTATTATACATGCGGTTTAGTCAATGAAATGACAAAAAAAATTACTTGTCATGCTATGCATGACATCATCATTGGAATAATTCAATGAGACATTGTTACCCATTAAGTAGCAAGAGTTTGTCATGCATTTGTAAATTCATTGAGCCTTAGACCACAATCAGCCATTTCCGAATTGACAATCCGCATAACATCTATGGATTGTTTGGAGGGACAACACAAAGTGGGAAGAAACTTTATGAGTTAAAATTGGGGCAAGAAAGTTTAAAAGATGCCTCATTATCTCTAAAAAAATTCCCCAAAAGTTGTTTACACTATTGGATGTATTGGTTCTGTGTCTTATGACTGGCGATGTCTATTGCACTGTCCCTCCAAACAATCCACACATGATTTGCAGTCTCAATTGGAAAATGGCTAATGCTCTGTGATTATTTACTACTTTGTCAAATGCTGGACATTATTTTCCTCATCAAAGGTAAACCTTTTCAACATAGTTGGTCAACCAGAGTGTATGCCAACACTTTCTGCTAAACTTTTAAAGGTTACCTATCGATCAGGCAACACAGTTGTTTCATTGTGACTACTTCACTCTGCTTTGTTTTTAAACCAGATGGAAAGCCTTGTAGGCTTTTTAGGCTTATAGCTTAATGTGTTAGCCTTTGTGGCGACGGCATTCATATGGTGTGACCCCTTCCTCTATAGGAGAGGGTTCACTGCATGTATGCAAAATAATGCCATATAGTTTTTAGGGTATCAACTCTTTACATTCAGTAAGATTGAGTCACAAAAAGTATAAAAATAATTGTCACATGACAACAGTGCATTGCATGTGATAAAGAGCTTTAGCAGGTACTGTACATTCCTTAACAATATCTGATACACAATTCATTTGACCACTTTTACTGTATAAGTGGCTGATTATATGCATAGTAGAGAGGGCTAGAGATTTAAATTCCCACATAACACAGTTATAAAATTCTAAACATATACGCTCTCCTTTTCAATTTCTCAGATCATGGACGAGAGGACATCTAATTGTTGGTACCAAGATAAAATCTGGTACAAACACATGTTGGACCAACACGACGACCATATGGCCTGCAAAGATGTTTCGGGATGTAGCAGGTGAATTCTTTCTGCTGTCGGATTTCCATCAGCTGGTCATCATCTGGAATGTTAACCTCATAACCCTGGAAATGGCTATTAAAACAGATGGCCCACGGTGGGCATAAAAGACAGCAAATTTGGCCAAGTATATATAACTTTCTCTCGTTAGTTTGGAATATCACGAAACTCCCTCACAGGATAGAACTTAACATTCCTAAAAATCGTACGTTTTTTGTTTTTCGATTTTGTTACATTTTGGCGGGAAAATGACGTGCCAACTTTGGCGCCAAAAAATTAAACACGAGCTAAGAACATGCTAGTAACTTTTTCGAAAAGATTGTCCTATAAGGATCTCAAAACTGTAAAAACATTAAAAATACAACAAGGCAGTGCAAGGATATGGCGATTCAAAGTTCGAAAAAAATCTATTTTTAGTAACAAAATGGCTGATTTTTCAGTAAAAATAGAATTTTGAATCGCCATATCTTCGCACTGCCTTGTTGTATTTTTAATGTTTTTACAGTTTTGAGATTCTTATAGGACAATCTTTTCGAAAAAGTTACTAGCATGTTCTTAGCTCGTGTTTAATTTTTTGGCGCCAAAGTTGGCACGTCATTTTCCCGCCAAAATGTAACAAAATCGAAAAACAAAAAACATACGATTTTTAGGAATGTTAAGTTCTATCCTGTGAGGGAGTTTCGTGATATTCCAAACTAAAGAGAGAAAGTTATATGTACGTGGCCAAATTTGCTGTCTTTTATGCCCACCGTGTGGTATCTAGTGGCTGCATCACAAACTGGATTGCTGCAAGATTTTTGGCAACAACTACAATTTTGCGAATCTTCCAAAACCTTGGCATATCATCATCATCGTAACCACTATGTATGATGCCATTGCATCTGTATTTGGTTCCTCCAATAACAACCCATTTTGCCCTGAAGAAGGAAATGAAAACGAAATAACTAATTAAATTTAATTACATGTAAGTTACAAAATCTTAAATAAGAGATCTTATAAATCTAATCTTAAATAAGAGATCTTAGAGATCTTAAATAACTGAATTTTAGTTATTTAACAAAGAGGGCATTTGAAACGAGATGAAGCTGATGAACCAATACTTCTTCTGAGGGGAATTTAGTGTGGGAATGATAACTGTACAATGTATTAGACAGGATTTCCGCTACTCAAGCATGACTTGAATCTGTATAAAAAGTACAAATACTTACTCAAATACAGAGGTTAGGACATCTACATCTAAGGGATATGACTGCTGGAGCAAATCATAATATTCTAACTTTCCAGCATAGGTTTCTGTGCCTGTAAATATTAACTATAAATTAATCATATGTAGCATTAAAGTCATACTGTACATGCATGTACGTGTCTTCCTTACCTGGACCAATCTCATTTCCTTTTTCAAGGAACGTAGAATGGCTACCTTCCGGTGTGTTAATCTGGTAGCACGGTCCTTCTTGGTGTCGTTTCGCCAACGAGTACGGCAGGTTAATAAAATTACCGCATGGAACTGCCAGCCGTTTAAAGTACGAATGTTTCGCCTCATATCGCATGCACCAAATTCCGATCAACGGTCCCAAACTGCAATAGTAACAAATGGATTTGTACTCGATCGTGAAAACACTTGGTTGAATTACACTTGCATACATTAAGAAATTGTAACATCTGTTAGACACCCAGTTGTATCATGTTGCTAGTTTCCTGGACAGTACAAATGCCCAGATTGTGTCATCATGTTATACCTCGTTTGCTTATCGTAACATTGTTCTTGGCATGTGGATCATGTAGTGCATTTTAGGAATGATAGAGGCGTGTGGATACAAAGCTTTGAAGGCCTCGTGGTGGTTCTGGATCAATACCTGTAGGTAGGGTATTTGCTGCTTGCTGATCACATACGCACAATTTCAAGAAGTGTGCAATATGCACTCCAGTGCTCATCATCTTCCGCGATGAATTCGCCAATCAGAAGCGGCAGAAACAAGCCCAAGCACCACATCTCATTTGCTGTAACATAATTAAGGTGTACATTACATGTGGGTTTTTCGTGTGGGGGGTGTGACACCCTCCGAAAATTTTAAAAATCGGTCCGTTTCCTTATGTGGAGGAAAAGTGGAAACGAATGTCTACAAAAGACGCAAATGAGCTTTTTTGGGCTAGTATTAAGGCAATGTCACACGGTGCAATTTTTCTTGCAACTTGCAACGCAATTCTACTGTTGAAAGATGTAAACGTGGCAAATACGCGTCTTCATTACATTTTGCTAATGTGTTCTCCACATATCAAACAGTCTTCACTAATTAACAACACTTACATAAGTGTTGAATTGCATTGCAAGTTGCAAGAAAAATTGAACCGTGTGACAGGGCACTTAGTCAGAAAAAATTTCCAAGGGGGTAAAAATTTTGTCGACGTGGGTAGGTCACCACGTATATGGTAAAAAATTTTTAAGTCGGTCCTGAAGGAACGAGTCGAACGAATTAGCGACATAATTATGTGAAGGACCTCGGCATGAGACGTCAGTATGAGACGTCAGCACGAAGAGACGCCCACGCTGTTGGTAAACACTACGTTTATTCGTAATATTTGTTAGGAGATAAAATTCGTGCACGAAATTTCACGAATATACGTTGGTGATATCAGTTGAAATACTTTCATGCGTACTTTATTAATCAAGAGCTTTTAATGTCGCTGGGAATGATCTCTAATAGAAGTACACGCTGACGTATTGCAAGTTCTGTCTTACCATGTTGTTTGAGGCTATTGTCTTCAGGAGTGAGTTTCGTCCTCAATATTGGCGCAGGTTTGTTAGAGTCATTATGATACCTAAAATGTTGAAATTTTTAAATTGGATCTTAGTGTTATATTAAGGGAGTTTAAGGTTACATGCCAGTTGCAAATAATACAGTACGACAGGTCCAAGACATGAAAATACCAAAATCGAAATGAAACATTGACGTCAATTGGCAAAAATAGTATTTGCCATTTGGGCATGGGATTGACCGTACATTAACATTTTTATTTCATATTATGTTTATATCTTACTGGTATAGTAATGCAAAAAAGGTCTCAAGAGAGCATAGTGAATATTAGTTCAAATTTGTGCGGATTTCTATTGTTCTCAGTCGGGTTTTATTTGGGTAAGATTCTTAAAGCAAGGGGAGGGATTTGATATCTCTCCAGGGAAAAGTGGGGTTGATGAATAGAATTGAATTAATAATTATAAATTCACGGCTTTTATCCATATAAAACCCGGATTTTTGCGGGTTATATATATATAAAACCCGCAAAAATCAGGTTTTATATACTTAGATAAAACCTGGTAAATATTTAATCATCAATTCAATTGAATTCTATTCATCAACCCCCCTTTTCCCTATAGAGATGTCAAATTCCCTCCACTTGCTTTTAGATTCTTACCCAAATAAAACCCTATTGAAAACAAATTTAGAATCTTTGCTTCGACAAACCCATACACATATTGTTCGTTATAGCGCTTCTACCTTCGGCCCACTCTTTCGAAATACGATCGAACTGCCCAGATGGTGTTGTGTCTTGTGCCTACAGTATATTCGGTATACGCTCAATACGCGTTTTTCAAGACTCTTTGTTTATCTCTGTCTAGTTTGAGCACTGCAAATCCCAATGGTTCGTCATTTGCTTGCAAAAATTCTCTTTCCATAAGCCAACATTTTCATCTGATTCCGGTTGCCTGGAAGCATTTTTTTTGTCGCTACATAGGTAGTTCACGTTTCAATCTCATTTTCATATGGACCCCATGGTAACAATCGTTATTCTCTTAATTCAATGCAAGTATTTTCGACAAAAAAGTAGATTTAATTGTTTTTCAATCCTTACAAATTTGAACTAAGTCAGTTAATTACCTCGAACGTCGGTTTCTTAGCGAGATACATCCCTCGGGAGCGTTGCCCTCAGAAAGCATCCCTCGGGCCTACGGCCCTCGGAATGCTTTCTTCGGGACACGCCCCTCGGGTTGTATCTCGCTAAGAAACCTCGTTCTCGGTAATTAACTCTTACTTAGGCAGATATTTTTTAGTGTTTTACAAGGCATGTTTACAAAGTGAGCTTTCACGTAGCACATGGGCGCATTTGAAATTGAATAGCTTGCATGTTGAGATTTTCAAGGTCTAGGTGGTCATGTTAAAAGTCAATTATTGTCATTTGGTTTATTACACGGGGTTTAAAATATTTTTTCCCTTCAAATTGTGTGAAATGCGTCAGTTAATAACCGCTCTTCTGTTTTATATTTATATATAAATACCAGAATAAATTTTCGTGTATTTTAGCACGTGTTCTCGCCTTGGAGCAAGTCCACACATAAGTAAAATGGCGCTTCGGTCTTGGCGAAAATCATATATCAAATACATTAGTAAAAATCAAAGGTAAGAAAGTTGTATGGATATTTGTACCAAGCACATGTTCACGCATAGTAAATGTTTTATTAATTCAAAGGGTTGAATATAAAAGACGGACTTGATTTACATAAGTCTACGACATGGAACATTGTTGATGGAACTTGTAACAATAAACAGGAAAAAGTAACAAAAATTCTACTTTGTCGGTCCCTTGAGATTTGATTTTGGCACTATTATAATTCAAAGCCGTTTTAGGAGGAACAATTCCCTCAATTCACAAATATATAAGATACTTCAAAGTTTTATACTAACTTTTTAACTAGAATTTTATTGAAGCCGTAAATTTGTTTGGACGCCATCGTATATGCAGGCCTTTTGACATATACTTTTTAGGATCTTTATACAATATATTTGTTTAAACGCAATTGTATAGAGACCTTGACTTATATTTTTTATTTTTTAGGCACTCACTAGCTTATATTTGTTTAGACGCAATTACATAACATTAGGGAGCATTCATAATTTATGTGGTGAGGGGCTATGAGGATTTTACATATTAGGAAAAATTTTTTAGGCAACCCCCCCTCCACACCTAGCAAATTTTTTGGTGACCCCCCCAAACAACAGACATTTAGTAGATAGAAATTTTCATGAACCCCCCCCCACCAAAAAAAATCTATTCCACATTAATTAGCTATTTGTTCTCATTGTTTCATGTTGTGCTCGTTCGAGAGTATTAATTATGTCGACATTTTTTCAAACTGCTCAGTTTTGATATTAATAAATTTAAAAAATATTACAAGCACAACACTTTATGTACCTGCCTGTCAAAAAATAATCCTTTAATATAAACCTTAACTGAAATATACTGTGCAAGTTGCAAATAACTTTTTTAATAATACCAACAAATGATAACATAGCTGTCACGGTAAGTTTTGTCCTAACTGCCTTCATACCACTGCATGAGTGTTTCCCAACCTGACTCTTCTAACAAGTCACCCTTCAACTTATCAAAAACTTCAATTAACAATGCATTTTTTGTTATTCCTTCTAGGTTATCACAGTTAATGTCATTAGCACCTAACTGAAAGGCTCCTGTTATAGATGGACTGTACAAATTATCACAGACAATAGGTGCTCCCAGTCTTTTTGCAACATCCAAACAGAGTCGCTCAAGTCTTTGTCTCTAGAAAAAGCCAAGAAAATTCAAGTTTTATATAAAACACCCCCCTCCCATTTTTGGCTTATAGTTTTGGAAAACAAATGTTGAAAAATTCCAGTGCAATACCTTTCTAGCTTGGGCATGATGCTTATTCTCCTTTTTACGTCTCTTCTTTCTTTGCTCTTCACCGTCCAAAATATCACCACCTGAATCCTTATCCTTCATTAGAGAAAGTGTAGTGGACAGCTTGGATGTTGCAGTTTCAATTGTCCCTATTTTTAAGTTTTGATATTGACAATAAATTTTCAAACATATTATAAATGAATCATTAATGTTGATAGCAACAGCATAAAGTATGACATCTATACATGTGTAGTTTATTTACCTCTCAGCCTGTCACACTGAAGCATTGCATCACAGTTGTATGGTTCTTGCTCAACTGAAGCCCACTTCTTGATAATTCCATCTTCCAACATGAAAAGTCTTTCCTTTCTGTCTTTCTTAAGTATTTCTTTTTGTTCCAAAACAAGGTCTCGTTGTTTTAGGAGCTCTGACAGGCTTTTCTGAACTACACTTGCATCATGCTTGTCGAACTTTGGAGGCAAAGAAAAATATCGCTTGGCATCACAACCACCAGTCCCTCCTGTTGGTGTGTTTACAATGCCCTCATAAGCATGTTGTATCCTTTCCATCGCACTGCGAAACTCCCATCGTGATTTTCTTTCCGATTTAAAGTATTTTACAAATCGACTTTGTAGGTGAACATAACACGCATTAAATAACTTGCAAAACAGTGAATTAAAGAATTTGTGTTTGTCTGTTACCGGGTTGGGGATGATAAGATTTTCCTGCTCGAACTTCTTCCGTAACTGCATTGTCATTTTTACTCCTCCTAGATCAACTTCTGTTTCTTGTGACCCTCTCACGTCCTTTTCAGGAGCCAAAATACTTTTATCATATAAATTCGGAGGAAGGCGCCATTCATTGATTTCTAGTTCTTTAAGACCTGACAAAAACCTTCGCTTTTCCGCCTTCTTAAGTGGCAAACTGCATAGGTCTTCGTCGATATGAAAATCCTTTAGGTGCTGAATCTTATAAAAGCCTTCTGCTTTTAGTATTGCTAGAATATCCGCCTTGGAATCAACATCGATATCCAGCGTTTGAAACCAAATTATAAACTGTTGTTCTTCTGTTGCATCCGCCATCTTTATACTTTATTTCATTTTAATACCGCTGACCACGCTGCAGTTGGTTTGCAAACACTTGAATTGTTTTGTGAAAAAGGACTAAAGGAGAAAAACTGATATATTCATAAAGAACAAAGTCTGCCGATGTAACGTTTTATAAATAGGAGTTTATGGTAATGTTTTTAACACTAAATATGTATTAATGAAGTGTAAATGTTTCTTGACCTTTCTTTTGTTAATGTTTCTTGACCTTTCTTTTTTGCTTGTGAGTTATGGCTTTTGTCAGAAAAAAATCACCGCTAGGCGCTACGCCGTTTACGTTTATATTTTGAACAAAAAGTGTGAATATTAAAAGTGTGTGTATATTTATTCCCCACTTTTGCAGCTCGTAATACGATGGATACTGAGGTTTCTCAAGAACACCATGGTCGTACCAGTCAATGTACCAAGTCGACTCGAAATCTTATTAGGGATAAAATAATTAATCAATCAAAAGAGTGGTCACCGTATGTGTTAGAATCACAGCAAACTTGTAGCTTGTCGGATAATTTATCGATATTACAGGGAAGAGAAACTGTGTTCAATGATCCAAGAAGAAAGGAAAAACTACGAGGTCTTCAAGCCATTCTACAGGAAATGCTACTAGAAGAACCTTTTGATGTGAATAATCAGAAAAAAGTTGGCTTCATGGCATTTGACGATGCATTTGCTCTTTATATGGGATTTCAGTCCACTCAAGACTTTTCTCATCAAGCAAAGTATAATTTTCAGTGCGCTATACTACATCCAAATACTGGATTATGTGTCAATATTTTAGTTATTCCAGGCTCACGTGAAAAGGTTATTATATTGTGTCCAGATCGCTCCCTAGATTTTACTTTCCTGTATGATTTTCTGGTAAAACATTTCTATAGTGATAGAAAAGAGGAATTTACCAAAGAGGAAATTGATATTGTTTTGGACAGTGTGACATCAGAAGCCAATTATTGAGATTCGCAAGCCTCGTGGCAGAAACATTATTGTTGGTGTCATTTATAGGCCTCCCGATCGTAATTTAGATTTGTTTTTACAACAATTCAATGAATTAATGTCGAAAATTTCACGGGAAAATAAGATATGCTATATAATGGGAGATTTTAATTTGAACTTAATGAATCATCAATCTAGTCCTAAAACTGGCGAATTTTTAGATTCTATATATTCAAATATGTTTCATCCACTGATATCTCGTCCAACTAGAATAACTTCAAATACGGCAACACTAATAGATAATATATTCACAAATAATATTCATAATTGTACAACTAGTGGATTATTATTTAATGATCTTTCTGACCATCTACCAATTTTTGTCGTTGATATTGACGAATTTTGGTCTGACGATCATTCGAATCAGTTTGTTATGTATCGTGATAAAAATCCTACTAATATGACAAAGTTTAATGACCAATTAGGCAGTGTTGACTGGTCGGTTGTGGAGAACTTTAATGACCCTAAAATTGCTTATACAGCTTTTCATACTAAATTTAAAGAAATTTACAATTGTTGTTTTCCACTTAAAAAAAGTGAAATCAAACGTGGTGAAATTCATAAACCATGGCTATCCAAAGGCCTTTTAAAATCAATTAAAAGGAAAAATGTTCTGTACAAGCAATATGTTAGTCATCCTACTTATAGTCGTGAATGTTTTTATAAAAGTTATAGAAACAGATTAAATCATTCGTTGAGATTGGCAAAACGTTTATATTATAGCGAAGCTTTGGGCAAATCAAAATCTAACTTAAAGAGAACATGGAAAATTCTTAATGAAGTTATAAATAGGAAAAAGAAATCGTTAAAACTACCTTCAATTTTTAAGATTGATAACCAAGAAATTTCCGATCCCTCTGTCATTGCTGATAAATTTTGTAGTTATTTTTCAAATATAGGTCATAATTTAGCGGATAAAATACCTCAATCATCTATTTCGCACTTGACATCTCTGTCTGGGTGTTATCAAAACTCAATTTTTATCGACCCAACAACTCAAAGTGAAATCATAGAAATTGCGATGAGTTTTGAATCAAATAAAGCTTCTGGATATGATAATATTCCAATGGCAGTTGTGCAGCATTCGATTGGTATAATTTCGAGGCCTCTGGCTCATATAATTAACTTATCTATTTCACATGGTATAGTTCCAGATGAAATGAAAATAGCTCGAGTTATTCCGCTTTTTAAAGCTGGTGATCAAGCAGTATTTACAAATTATAGACCTGTTTCTATTCTTCCGTGTTTCTCCAAGTTTTTAGAAAAAGTTATTTATAAGCGTTTGTTGAACTATATAAATAAACTGGGTATTTTTTGTAATAATCAGTTTGGCTTTCGTAAAGGTCATTCTACTTCATTGGCTCTGGTTGATTTATTTGATAAGATTTCATCAGCAATTGATCGCAAGGAACACTCGGTTGGAATATTTTTAGATCTTTCAAAGGCCTTTGATACAGTAGATCATAATATTCTACTTGATAAACTGAATTATTATGGAATTAGGGGCCTAGCTTTAGATTTAATTAAAAGTTACATATCGCATAGAATGCAGTATGTACAATATAATCAAACAAATTCTATTAAGCAGAATATTTCCTGCGGAGTACCTCAGGGTTCAATCTTGGGTCCTCTTTTGTTTTTATTATATATCAATGATTTAGCAAATGTTTCGAAACTTTTGACGGTAATTTTGTTCGCTGATGATACAAATATTTTTTACTCGCATTATGACCCAACAATTCTAACTAAAGTTTTGAAGGAGGAGACTGAAAAATTATCTGAATGGTTTAAAGCAAATAAATTATCATTAAATTTAGATAAAACGAAATTCATGTTATTTAAGCCAAAACAAAAGAAGGGAAGGTTAAATATAAATTTGTGCATAAATAATCATGAAATTTCTCAAGTAAGTGAAATTGTGTTTTTGGGAGTTGTCTTGGATCAACATTCGTCATGGAAACCGCAGATTGCTCAAGTTGCAAATAAAATATCTAAATCTATAGGAATAATTTATAAATCAAGTTTCTACCTATTTAAAGAAAACATGCGCACGTTATATTTTTCTTTAGTTTATCCATATCTATATTATTGTAATCTGGTATGGGCGTCTACCTACCAGAGTAATTTATATCGTATTATTTTACTTCAGAAACGTGTTGTCAGAATTTTAAGTAGGAGTAATTTTGATGCACATACAGATCCTATTTTTAAAGAACTTCATATAATGAAATTTTGTGATATTTGCTCATTGCAAATGGGCCAGTTTATGTTTTCCTATAAACATGGATTGTTGCCTGCATGTTTTGATAGTTTTTTTAGACTGAATAGTGAAGTACATAGCTATCTGACTAGAAATTCAAAATCTTTCCACCTGCCGTTGTGTCGGACAAATATTTGTCAGTTTTCAATAAGATATCAAGGTCCGAAGTTTTTTAACTCACTTGGGGATGAAATTGTTAATTCTGTTTCTTTTCAAATTTTTACTTTCAGGCTTAAAAGTTTATTTCTTTGAATTGTAACCATCAATATAGCCATTCATCGAATATGTTAAACTACCGTATTACATTTAATGTTTGATGTTGCCATTTTGCATTTGCTTATTTATATAATTTTCTGTAATCCATTTCTGGGAGGAAATCCATGATTTCATAAGCCTTTAGGTTTCTTTTTTGGATTTCCTCGCCATATGTAATTCTATTTTTTTATTTATTTATTTGTATTTGTTTGTGAAAGTTATATTGGCAATTTATTAAATTCAAATTCAAATTATTAAATTCAGAAAATATTATTAATTCAGGAGTGGTGCATATGGGTGTCAGTGACCATAGCCTTATTTATGGCTGCAGAAAGATATCATTTTGCAAAACGTCACCAAAAATTGTAGAAACAAGGAATTTTAAGCATTACAAAACATTAGAATTCAAAAGAGATCTTTCTATCGCACTTTCGAATTGTGATTGGGGTACTCATGGTCCAATATCTGTATTATACCAGTCGTTGCGAAATTATTTGAGAAATCAGTCTGTGGTCAACTCAATTGCTATTTCAAGGAACACCGGATTCTTACAAAATTTCGGTCTGGTTTTAGCGAATTAGGCCATTCAACTACATCCTCTTTACTCTGTACCGCCAACTCTTGGTTAGTAAACATGGATGCTGGCCTTATTAACGGGTCCTTTTCCTCGATCTCAAAAAAGCGTTTGATACGGTTGACCACCAGATCCTTATTAAGAAACTTGAATTATACGGAATTAAAACTAGTGTATTAGCATGGTTTTCTTCCTACTTACAAGGAAGACCTCAAGTGTGTAGAGTTAATAATATTACATCATCTTTAAAACATATTTCGTGTGGTGTTCGACAAAGGTTTAACCTGGGTCCCCTCCTATTTTTAATTGATATAATTGTCTTGCCTGATTGTTTAAAAAAATCAAAACCAGCTATGTATGCTGATGATATATTAATTTATCTGTTACTGGAGAAAGTGCAAGTGATATCGAAGAAGATTGAATACTGAACTTGAAAATGTTCATGAATGGCTCTAACAACAAATAAATTAACACTTAATAGTGAGAAAACCGAGTTCATGATTTTCGGTTCGTATAAGAGAATTTCAAATATTCAAAAAGATGAAATTAGAATTAGGATTAGGAATAATGAAATAAAACGAGTCAAACTACTATAAACGTCTGGGAATTGTACTTAATGAAAACTTAGCATGGAAAGAGAACATTGACAATCTCAGCGTTAAGGTGTCAAGGGCAATAGGAGTTATTCGCCGAGCTAAAAAAAACGTTAAACAAGATTCCTTGAAACTAATGTATAAGCTAATTCTTTAGTTCTTCCAATATTTTGATTATTGTTGCAGGCAAGCACTAAAAACTAAAGTTCAGCGGCTTCAAAATAGAGCGGCAAGAATCATATCGGGAGATGCATATATTAGATGAAAAGATGTTCTCTGTAAATTATGCTGGACTAATCTCGAAGAAAGGCGTAATTCTCAAACTATTTCTTATGTTAATAATGCTCTCCAGATTGATAAATGTGAGTTATGGCGTATTAAATGTATTAGACGTGTAATTATGTACATTGTCCTATATTGCATTGTGTTGATATTATTGTTATTTTAACGTAACCACACGGCCTTTTGAAAAGCAGCATTTTATTTTTCTTGATTTGTTGTTGCATGCTTACTTATATAAATTATATGTACGTATATATTGCTGAAAAGTTACCGTGCATGAAGATTTTGAAATAATAATAATGATAATCGGATGATAGACTATTGACGGATCTGAGCTAACTGTTGATGTTCCTTGCACGATTATGTGCGTGAGGCACTTGCCTAATGCGTAGTCGGCAGGGAGACAAAGGCTGTGACCCTTGCGAACGGGCAATTAGAACTAATCGATTAGTTCTAATCGGCCGCTCTACCGGACAATTAGTTAGTAATCGACCATGTTGAAACAGAAGCCACCCGCGCAACTATGCTCTTATTAAGTTAAAAAGATAATTAATCTAAATTTTCTATATAATTTTGGTTAGAAAACCCCCACAATCGTTGGTCCATCACCATCATCGCTGGACCCGCGCCATTTTCGCTGAATCCGAGCCATTTTCGCTAGACACATGCCATTTTCGCTAGACACGCGCCATTTTCGCTGGACCCGCGCCATTTCTATTGACTCGCGACCCGCGCCATATAGACAATCCCGTTCTCGTGCTACGGTGCAGGTTAACTAATACGAAAACAGTACGTATTACTGTATAGTCGGTACAGTTCTTAGCCAGTTAGTTAAAAAACCTAGTTAAAAAACCTAGTTAAGTGTATTTGTTACTCGCACTGAATTTTCTTTTAATTTTTAATAACTTATATTGTCAAAACTAAAAAAAAAAACATGCATGCTTAATAATACAGTTAATTCCGTATTTGGTACTAACAATCCCGTTCTCGTGCTACG